CTGTCATTCATAATCTATAATCCATTATTTATCATCTATCAATCTATCAATCATGTCAACCTATTATCTATCTATCTATCTATCTATCTATCTATCTATCTATCTATCATCTATCTACCTACCTACCTACCTACCTCTCATCTCTATAGTTGTGCCAGTTAGTTTTTTGTCAACTTGACACAAGTCATCTGGAAAGAGTGGGACTTCTGCTGAGGAAATGCCTCCATCAGATTGGCCAATAGTCATGTCAGTGGGACATTCTCTTGATTAATGATAGATGTGAAAGGACCAAGCCCACTGTGAGCAGTGCTACCACTGAGTAGGTGGTCCTGGGAGGTAAAAGAAACTTAGCTGAATGTGATCTTAGAGAGTAAGGTTGGCAGAGAATATTTCAGGGACCATCAAATGTCTAGCCTTTCCCTGCTTTCCTTTCACAGGTATTAATTCCTGATAAGCAACCGGAACTCCAAAAATATATCCACAGCTACCCCCCCAGAAGCCTGCTTTTCCTTGTGACCTCAGGGACAAGCTGCAGAAGCAGGCAACAAACTGAAGCATGGAAGCTGGACAAGAGTTAGACATAATTATGTCACCCTGGTCAAGATGTGGTCTGTATGCTCTTACTCAGTTCTGGTTCTGCAGGATGGTCCAAAAAGATCTTATTACTTGAGAAGAGCAATCTGGTGACCAAGGAAGATCACCTCCTCTCCAGGGTGCATCCTTGCCTTTGTAGACAGTTACCCTCATTTCAGTGGATTGGGGCAATCTGAGAGGCTCTGCCATCAGTGGAGTCCAAGACCAAGGACTGGAGACTTCTACATGTCTTTGGGGGTCTTGAAATGCAATGCCGTGAAAAGCTGATACTAAGTGGGCTGGGGAATGGCTCAGTCAGTAACTGCCAATACAGACACAAGGAACTAACTTCAGATCCCCAGAACCCGTGTGAAAAGCCAGGTGTGGTGGCGGACCTCTAACTCTGGTGCTGAGGGCTGAGGGGGGTTAGGTGGGTGGGTGGAAGCAAACATATCTTTGAAGCTCATTGGCCAGCCAGCTTAGCTGAATTGATGTGCTTCAGGCTTAGCTAGAGATCCCGTTTCAAAAAGTAAAGGTTGGATTGATGAAGGAAAGACCCCTGACATTGACCTCTGTCCCCTCCATGTGCACATCCAGACATCAACAAGTACACACACCACACACACAATATATATATATAAAAAATAATACGTGGACTACATGCTACTTGGCCACTCTCCCCTTTGTCTTCAGTTTCAGAGGGGGATGGGATGAATCAGGTACCACAGGTAGATAGGAAGTCCTTGAGTGGCTAATGTGCCTGCATGCAGAAGTAAGCAGGTCGCCCAGTGTGAGGGAGACAGATGCAAACAATGGCAGAGATGCCTAGCTCTATATCTGGTATTTAGTTACCTTGTGGACCCAAGTGAGATGTCAGTCATTGTAGTGAGTGTGGTTTCGGTCCTGCTCTATCAGAGGGAGCAGCATAATAGGAGCAGATAGCATCTGTGAACTGAACTGAACTGAACTGAACTGAACACCTGTGCACAAAAGGCTTTGGCCCTACAGAAAGAGCCAACAGCTAGGACGAGCTTGAGGCACCGTGGGATGAAAGCCATAGAGACTCTCTGGCTGCAGGCAAAGAAACTCCCACTGGCTGTGACCCCAGTGACTCCAGGGGCAGACCTTGCCAGGAATCACTGGGACAGAACTGTAACATGAGGGCCGGCTTCTTGGGGTTTCTGTCCTGCCTGGTACCCAACAGCTGGCAAATCCCAAAGAAAATCACACAGAGATCTTCATAAGTAATAAAACTTTCATCTCAGGTAACTGCTGACATCAGTATTGGCTTCCTGGCTCAGCCTCCAAGCTAGCTGATGTGATCCTATAATTCCTACTCTTCTGGGAATCTGAGCATCCAAGTTAAAGGGCTCAGTGATACATTTGCTGTCAAGTCTTAAGCACCATGTGGGCCCCTTGGAAGTGCTTGATACATTTGACAACGGATGCCTTTTTGATGTGTCAGCAGTGGACAGTATGACATCCATCACCATTTTATACTTGTGACTGTCCTGAGACAAGGCAGCACATGCTACTAGACCAGTGAATAAACATATATAGAGGGGTTCAGGGATACTTGTGGTCCCACTGTGTGACTGTCAACTTGTCATGATTCAGAATCAACTAGCAGCAACCTTTTAGACACTACCATGAGGGATTATCTAGACTAGGATCCAGGCACACCTGTGAGGGCTTATTTAGACTAGGTTAGCATCCAGACACACCTGTGAGGGCTTACTTAGACTAGGTTAGCCTCCAGGCACACCTGTGAAAGCTTACTTAGACTAGGCTTAGCCTCCAGACACACCTGTGAGGGTTAACTTAGACTAGGTTAGTTCAAAGACTCAACCCAAAGGAGGGCTGCACAGTTACCTGGGTTTGGGGCCTGGATTACATAAAAAGGAGTCTAGTTGAACATTCAGTCCTGTTTCCTGATTATGGATGTTACGTGAACTGCTGTCAAGCTCCTGATTCCATGAAGGACCACATCCTTCAGCTGTGAGGCAGAATACACCTTTCTTTCCTTAGGTTGCCTTTGTCAGGGAATTTTACCACAGTAACAGAAAAAAAGGAATTGAGAGACATCCCGAGTGAAGTAAAGAATTCTACATGGAACCCTGGAGTCCTGAACCATATTCTCATACAATCCTTGCTGCCCGTGTCTTCTCTCCCATCCACCCAGTGAAACCATGCGGTCAGGGGGCAGTGTGCTGTGGTCCAATTTGGTTCAAAGCTTGCTTTTGTACAATGTGAGAGTTTGTAGCGCGCACCAAGGCGCTGTCATGTCGTGGGCACGGAGCCTGGGCACCGTTTGCTGTTCCACGTCAAACTTGAGAGAACTTGTGCGCATGCATGTGAGCCCCCCCCCCCCCCCCCCCAGCGCGGGGAGTCTTTCGATCTGGCCATCCGATCTGGCCAATCATTATTTAGCACGTTTATCGCTCCATTCTGGCCTGAGCCATTGGGTTGATGACACGTCAGGGCTTTGTCTGGCACCGTATATATTCTTCTGCTTCCACGGGGACGGGGTCTTCTTGCCTCTTTCAAACCTCAAGTGTAAGTGCTCCAATAAAGGGTGTTCTGAGAAGGATCCTGTTGCAGTCATCTCTTCTGCTGGCAGGAGCGGCATGCTGCAAGAGTTAAAAATAAAATTTATGTAATTGGAAAAAGGGGTCCAAAGAACAATATTTCATGACACGTTGTCATGGTTACCTCCAGCTGTCAATTTGACATAAACCTAGAGATACTCAGAAAGAGGGAAAATCAACTGAAGAATTACCTTGATCAGATAGGCCTGTGGCCATGTCTGTGGGGCATCACTCCACTCTACACTTAGTTTTTTGGACAAGATTTCTTTGTGTAGCCTCCGCTGTCCTAAAATACTCTTTATGGACCAGCCTGGCTTTGAACTTAGAGAGACCCACCTGCCTCTGCCTCCCAAGTGCTGGGATTTAAGGTGTGCACTACCACCACCCAGCACAGGCATTTTCCTGATTAACAATTCATGTAGGAGGGTCTAGACCATTGCAATAGGTGCCATCTCTGGGCTGGTGGGCCTGGGCTGTATAAGAAATCTAGCTGCACAAGCCAGGGGAGCAAGCCCATAAGCAGCATTCCTTCATGGTTTCTGCTTCAGGCTCCTGTCCTGATTCCTTCAAGGATGGATTGTAAAATGTAAGATAAAATAAGTCCTCCCTAAGCTGCTTTTGTTTTTGGTGTTTATCACAGCCATTCTATGAAGCTTAGCTTTTTAGACACAGTCCCTAACCTACAGCAGGTTCTGTCAGACATGGCAGAGTTTCACAGCTACAGACAGTGCATGAACCTGAAATATCTGCTGTATGATCCTTTATGGACAAATGTAGTAGGAAGGAGGGAGCAGGCTGTGTCCCACTGCTCTTGCTAGCTTAACCCCCGAAATAACCACACCAAAACTCTATTAATTAAATACTGCATGGCCCATTAGTTCTAACCTCTTATTGGCTAACTCTTACATATTCGTTTAACCCATCTCCATTAATGTGTATTGCCACTGTGGCTTACTGACATGAATCTAACCAGTGCCTGTCTCAGGCAGGAGAAACATGGTGTCTGCCACACTTCCCTTCTTCCCAACATTGTGTTCTGTCTACTCCACCCACCTAAGGGCTGCCCTATCAAAAGGCCAAAGCAGTTTCTTTATTCAACCAATGAAAGAAACACAAATACAGAAGGACCTCCTACACCAGAAAAAAGTTTGCTGGCTCTGGGACAAGAAATTGCCTCTTTAAATCCTCTTTTGTGTACTGGATGCAGCCCACTCTTCTGGCAAGGAAATATGGGAATAAAACCCCATTCTTGGCATTAATAACATTAGTAACAGAAGCTCTCATACACTGAAGTCCTCCAACACATCAGGCCTTTTGAAGTTGACATTCCTTAGATGTTTATATTTCTTTTCCACCCACTGTACAGACCAAGGTTCTCACAAGAGAGAGGTTGTGTATTAAGGGGTGCCATTTAGAACTGAATCCAGTTTTTCTGCTTCCATGGACACTTTACAATCAAGCCCGCTCTTCTAAGCAGAACCAAAGCTCACGCCCTCTGGCCAACAGTTCATCTTCATTACCCAGAGCCCCTCAGAGGGTCTCAGCTCCCACTCCATTCTGCCTCAGTGATGCACATCACATTGTGTCAAAGTGATCCCGTCAATCACAAACTGAAGACCTGGCCAGGATGGGGACATTCAGTTCAATCCAGAATACTGGAACCTGTGTGAGCTGGTCTGCTGTCTCTTGGCCACTGAATAATTAAGGCCAGCTTGTTGAGAATCTCCACCTGGAGGATTTCCCTTCTATGTGTGTTTACATTTACTTACCATGAGCTCTGTTCTAGATACCACTGCAAGACACCTTGGTGCTGAGTTCATACCGGGCAACAGGAATGCATTAGTGAATGCTCAGAGATGGGATCTTGCAGACAAAGGGGAACCTCCTGTGGCAGGCCAGGACCTCAGTGCTGTGAACAGAAGAAGCAGATCCAGCTACTGCAATAAAAGTCACCATGTCACTGCTCTGGAGTAAAAGTCCTCTCCAGCTAGCCTCACTTGCTGATGCTTTCGGAGACAGCTCTCTGATCTTCATTTCCCTTAAAGTTGGGTTGATCTGCCCCTGGTCTGGGGAGGGTAAACTTTACCTAGAGACTGCATGAGCTCCATTTGCTGGACTGCTGCAATGGCTTCCAGGATAAGTCACTTTCCTCTTCCACCACTCCCCAGGAGGAGGAGAGGGAACAGAGAAGAGCAGCAAGATGCTTATATCTGGGATTCAGTACATATTTCAAACCTAGCTTCATTTCTTGCCTGCTTTGACCTTGAAGAAGTTGCTCAGCTTCCTAGGGCCTGGATTCACCTTGGGCTCCATAGTTGATAGAGCAGAGAACATGTGTTCAGACAATGGCTGACACCCTGAGTCCACCTATCTCTGGACTCTTCCAATTGTCCTTCAATTATCTCTGCAGCCTTTTACATAGGGATGAATAGTATGCCCTTTTCCTGGGAGAGGAAACAGACTCTCAGAGAGAGAGAATTACTTCCTGCAAGATCATAGCCACATTAAGTTACAGGGCTGGAATTCAAACCCAGGTGTGTGCTCTTCAGTGCCCACGCCTCCATGATTCTCCAGATACAACTGTGTTCTATAATTCACAAGTGTCAGCCTGGTCTTGAGGCACTTTGGTGCCCCATTAGCTGACCCAGGAGACTAATTCTCAGTGAAGAAAATTTTTCTTAAAAAGGAATATAGGCTGTACTGTGCACATCAAAGAACTTAATGAAATCTCTGCTACCCACTCTAATTCTCTAACGCCTTTTCATCCATTTAGAGCCAGAATGTCGGCGAACCATTACTGATCACTTCAAACACTCCTCCCCATTCCCTAGGGATGCTAGCTGCTCTCCAAGGTGCTGAAAAGGACAGCCTCTTAATCCTCATTGTGCCAGTCCTATCCCAGGTGCCTCTCCATGCTCCCTGATGCCTCCGCATGCCTCATGGTGACTCCATTCTTCACTGTATCCCCCATTCTTCAGGGGGGTGCAGTGATTCCCCATCCCCCATTATGTCTCTCCAGCAGCTCTGTGAGAGTTCAGGTCCCAGGGTACCCACCGCTACTGGGTGGGTACCACATCTGCACACAGTCTCTGTATGGATGCCATCACCAGACTGACTCTTGTCCCAGTAACTGAGTCATAAGGAGAACAATCCATCCATTCAAACTGTCCTTCCTGGGGTCCATTCACAGCAAGAAGGTAGAGAGGAAGACCAAATATTGGGTCAGCTCCAGTGTAGGGACAGTGTTATAGTAGTACTTCATGCCTGCTACCTTGCATCAAAGTAATGTGTACTATTGTGAAGTATGCCTATACACTGTGTGAATATATGTCATTGTGATTGGTTAAATAAAGAAGATGACTGGCCAATAGCCAAACAGGATGAAGTTAGGTGGGAGAGCCAAACAGAGGATGCTGGGAAGGAGAAGGGTGGAGTGTGGAGTCCCAAGCAGATTCAGAGAGAAGCAAAATGGGCATGCTGTACTGAAAAAGGGTACCAAGCCACATGGTAAAACATAGATAAGAAATATGGGTTAATTTAAATGTAGGAGCTAGTAACAAGGCTGAGCTATTGGCTGATCATTTGTAATTAATAGTAAGTCTCCATGTCAGTTATTTGAGAACTGGTAGATGGGAAAGAAACAACTGTCTACATGCTATGACTGGCAGTACTGCTCTTCCCAGATGCCTTTGGTCCTTATCATGTGAACTTGACTCCCTTTGTCCTCACTGCCCTACACTGCAGGTAACATCATCTTCAGAAAACTGGCCCAGATCCATTAGTGTTAGCACTCAAACTCAGGTGGTCCTGACTCCAGTCCCCAGCCTAAGCACTGTCCTTTCTCAGCTGCTGAGACTTACTCCTCCCCACCTCCTTTTATTCAAATGCCTATGTTTTTCTCTCATGCTCTGGAACTATGCTGTTCAATCACAAGAGAAGTCCCGCTGGCAGTCTGATTGGTGCTGTAGTGAGTATGCAGACCAACTGTGGGAAGAATGACACTGGCAGGGGAGGGAGCGGGAGTCATGCCTCCTTTTATATTTATTCTGGTATTTAGAACAGTGCCTCTCGAAGCACAGATGATTCTGAAGTCCTTTCTACACAGTGGAATAGCAGAGAGAGGACAGGTTGAGCTCAAGGCTTCCACTCTCTCCATCTTCCTTGCTCTGTGACCTGGGCACATTTCCGAATCTTTCTGAGCCTTGGTTTCCCACCAATAAAGTAGAGTGAATATCCCAGAGAGGATTGAGGGCTGAGTGACTTTCAAAGTATATGAATGGCAACACGGAGCCTGGTGCACAGTGCCTGGCCCCGAAAAGAAAGTAAAGCCCTTTCTCTGTCTCGTTTGTTAGGGATATTAAGTCTTACAATACACATTCTTTCCCCCTTTCTTATTTTTCTTTTCTCCTCTTTTATTTTCCTTCCTTCCTTCTTTCCTTCCTTCCTTCTTTCCTTTCTTCCTTTCTTCTCCTGAGACAGGGTTCTCTATGTAACCTTGGTTGTCCTGGAACCCACTCTGTAGACCAGGCTGATCTTACAGAGATCTGCCTCTGTGCGGCCATTGAGATGAGTCTGCCTCTGCATTCCAAGGACTGGAACTAAAGGTGTATGCCACTACCACCCAGCCTATAATACATATTCTTTAAATTATGATTTAAGGTAGATCTAACCTAACTTTATTTATGTATTTTTTTGGTTAGGATGATTTTAATTAAAAAAAAAAACCTTCCCAAGTCTTTGGGAAATACTCTAAAACACAGTTAAAACTGAGCAAGAGTATTAGTTGTATGTTTTAGTTGGCACACGGTGATTAGTTACTTCAGCAGAAATTTCCACATGATTCCACACCCCTCCCCCTTTAGAAGTTCTTTCTAACAGGAGGACCTGGGAAAGAGGTAAGGAACTGGCATGCGGCTAGTCTAGTCTTCACACTGCTAATTTAAGTGGCAATAGTCATTGTACCACAGGTTCGTTTGGTCATTAATTTTATGGTGCTGGGGTTGGAGCTCAGAGTCTCTTGCGTGCTCTGCCACTGTATCTCAAGTCTGTACTACATGGTCTTCCTAGATTTTTTGTTTGTTTGTTTGAGGTTCTCGGGACTGAACCTAGAGCTGAGACAGGAAGCCTGAGCTCAGGGCCTTTCACGGTAAGGAATGAGCCCAGGCAACCAAAAGACATTTCATCTCCAAAGAAACAGAGTGGGTCTGGGAATTGCAGCCCAGTGATCTACTGTGTGCTGAGCCCTGGGTCCAGTGATGCTGAGGGGGGGAAAAAGACCCTTGTTTATCTAACCATATTTTTGTTTTAGAAAATCCAAGTCAAAACAAAAGCCTTCTCTGGTCATTCTACATGTTCCGGTCACACCCACTTCCACGGCTAACAGGCAGGTCAGCGTCACAACTACCTCCAGGGCTAACTGAGATAGGTCAGTGCCACACTCATTTCCAGGACTAACTGGGACAGGTTGGTGTCTATGTGCTGGATGCATAACTATGACCGTCATTATTAAATCAAAGTGGAACCTTGGTGGGAGCTTTTCCATGGGATCTGATAGCTGTGGCTTTCTCGCCTCACCTGCCTGTGGTCACGAAGGCCAATCAAGATGTCGGCTGGGATGTCAGGAACACAGCTGTTCACCAGGTCATCACAAAGACATTCTCCTTCCAGCTGTGGATGTAGGAAGCACAGCAGCAGTCAGCACCGCCCCTTCCACAGGATGAAGTCTAAAACAAGCTTGTTAATGTTTCTGGACTACATAAAAAGAGCACAGGATGCTTTCCTCTTCTGTTCTCTTAAGATTTCAGTTAATTAACTAACTGTGTGTGTGTGTGTGTGTGTGTGCCTGAGGGTGTGCACATATGCATGTATGGTTGTGCATACTTGTGTATCTGTACAGCAACCAGAGAGTGGTCCTCTACCACTCTCGGAATGATATTCCTTTGAGGCAGTCTATCCATGACCTTTTTGGCTAGACTGGAGGCCACAAGGCCCAACAATCATTCTGTCTGGCCACCCTTGAAACTGGGGCTATAGACATTTGCTGAGTCACCTGGGATGTTATGTAGATGCTGGGATTATGGACTCTGGTCTTCCCAGTTGTGAAGTGAGTGCCCTTAGCAACTGAGCCATCTCTCTAGTTCCTCCATCATTCTTAATTAGGCCAACCCTACATGGTCATCCACACCAGCTCAGAGAAAGACTCAGCACAACACTTACTACCACTTCAACCAAAAACACTTCTCTCTTCTCTCTCTCTCTCTCTCTCTCTCTCTCTCTCTCTCTCTCTCCTTTTCTTGAAAATTCAGCTCTAGGCTTGAACTCGCTTAGTCCACTCAGTGTCTTTTTGGAGGAGTCCTAGCCTTGATTTCAAAAGTTCATTAACGAAGAAACCAGTGAGGGACCCTGGTGTTTGCTCATTGTATAAAACAATGAAGAAATAGAGATGAAAGAATGAAAGGTCAGGCAGATGGGTGAATGGAGGGAAGGAAGTAGGAAGGGATAAATGGATAATAGATAAAAGATGGATGATGAATGGGTAGAAAGATATAGGGAAGGAAAGCTGAGCAGCTGGACACAGTAAAACAGACTCACGGGGGCTACAAGTCATTTATGTTAGGACTGTGCTTCATGTTACACAGCCGTGAATTCATTTCATCCTCATAGCAAACTGGGACTGGAGTGGACATGACTGGCTGTCTGCCCCAAAGCCATTCCCACAGATGATTTCATCTCACTACTGTAAATATTATAGCCTAGAAAGCCATATTTCTCTCCCCAGTTCTCTTTGAAGCTAAAATTGCCAAAAGACCCAGTTCAAACACCTAGCTGAAAAGCACGGCTTCCAGGGAGCATCTGCGAAGCATCTTCCCCCTGGTAGAAAGAGGAAGGTGTGTGGAGAAGGCTCTGGTCTCTGCTCTGCTCTTCCTGTTCAGAAACTTTCCTGAGGAACGTCAAGGTAACTGCTTACCAAAGAGTGGTTCACCTATTGCCTTGATATCAGCGAGCTCAGAAGAAGCCATCAACCAAAGTCAGGAGCTCAGAGGAAGGATGTGAGGACAAGCAGACCAATGACAGCACAGGTCACACAGATGTCCACACAACAGACCCCCTGACAAGTGCTTCCCATCCTGTGAGAGGCGAACTTCAGTGCACCAGGGATGTCATAGTGCACCGGTCCTGGACCCGAGGTCTATCCGCTCCCATGAGCATGCTCCAAAAGTCCGCCATTTTGTGGGGGTGTCCACTATGGAGGATATCTCACCCGGAGTGGAGGTCAGAGCACGAGGTCGTGCTTTCCACTTTGTTGAGGAAAGATCTCTCTTGTTTCTGCTTTGTTGATAACTCAAGGGAACCAACCTGCAAGCTTCCAGGCAGTTCTGTCTCTACCTACCACCTCACACAAGGAGTGCTGGAAACAGACTGTGTCAGATGCAAATGTATCTGTCGCCCCGCCCCTCTGTCCCCCCACCCCCCCAGGTTCTGAGGCTCAAACTACACTAGCCAGGCTTGTATCACTGGCGCTTTTCCCTACCAGGCCATCTTCCTGACCCACCTCTTCCCATTCCACACGTGTTTATCAGGTCAGCTGTTTCACCAGATCAAGAGCGCCGATGCCCTGCAGTGCATGGCACAAACCTGGCGACTATAAAGATGTTTCTCCCAGCATGCTCTTTGCTCCCACTGCTGAGTTATTTCCCCTCCATTCCACCCAGATAACTTCAATGACAACTTGTGCTGGGTAAAAAGGAACTTCCGTGACCTGAACCAGAAGCCAGTTGGAGACATCAGACTCCAGTCCTTTTCCTCAGGAGCACTTGGCTAGGCCACAGAGGCCCGGGCAGTCCACTCACCCGTAAATGGAGGTCAGCCTGGCAGATTTCCTGCCAACAGTGAACTGAGAGCCCTGCAGGTCGGCTTCGGCCCAGGTCTTGTTGATGGGGTAGAATCTGTAGCAATGACCTTTGAACCCTCTCCAGAACAGGGGACACAGCAGGGGCATCTGGGGCACCTCTGAGAGGGTTGAGGAGAGAAAGCGGAGTGGGAGGAAGATTGGTGGTGCTCAAGTTATCTCTGTGACTTATTACATATTTTTTAAAAGTAAAACACATCCGTTATGATTAACACAGTTCTGCATCTGAAGTCTAAAAATACATGTACACCCCAGGGCTACCTAAAAAAGACCCTATATCAAACAAACAAACAAACCAAAAAGGAGTTATTTTAATTATTTATGCATCATGTATGTGAGTATGCTGGGTCTGTGCAGGCGCCATGTTGTGACAGGGTCTACTGAGCCCAACGGGTGCACTAGCTCCCTTGCTGCTGTAGTTACAGGTGGCTGTGAACCATCACGTGGGTGCTAGGTCAGAACCTGGGTTTTCTCTTAAGTGCTGAGCCGCTTCTGCAGCCCCTATTAAGATTGTTTTAAATAGTTCATGAATAGCCCTTATGTAGCCCTCCTAGAGTTTAATAACTGCCTTATCTTTGGATAATTAGATTTCTTCCTCCCTTCGTTCCTTTGTTCCTTCCTTCCTCCCTCCCTGCCTCTCTCCCCCTTCCTTCTTTCCTTTCTTCCTTCATTTGTTCATTGGTTCCTTCCCTCCCTTCCTCTCTCCCTTTCTCTCTCTCCTCCCTCCCTTCCTCCCTCCCTCCCTCCCTCCCTCCCTCCCTTCTTTCTTCCTTCCTCTCTTCCTCCCTTCTTTTCTAGATAAAAAGCTACTAGTAGTAACACTGAGACAACAGTTTCATGCCTCAAGCTTTGTCGGTGTTTCTGATGGTTTTCTGGGGAGAGACTTGGGTGGCTTTGATACAATTTCTAAATTGCCTCCTGAACGCAATTTCCCCTCTCACTGCCATGGCTGAGGGCACCCATCTCACTTGCTCGTCCTGACTGCCATCATTTCCTGGGGAATCTTTGCAAATTTTATAAGCAAGAAATGGTGCCTTGTTTCAATAAGCAATTCCAGGCTATCTGACAAGTGCGTGCATTTACGGATAAGCTAGAAGCAAGACTTTGTATCTTTTGCCCTCCACACTGATGGGGTTAGGATCGGTTGTTAATTGTGAAGAGCAACACATTGAAAGCAACAACAAGGTCATGGTGTTTGAGATGATAAATTTCTCTCAAGTCTTGGCTCCTCTTCAAATTTCTTGTGGGTGTTGTTCTTGGACACAGAAGTCGGTTGTTGGGAGAGACAGACAATTGAGAACCTTCCATCCACTAGGTTGGGAGACCCATGTGGTGAGCAGTGGTCCCTGGTCACCTACATGCTGGTCAGTGAGCAGTGGTCCCTGGATACCTATGTACTAGTCAGTGAGCAGTGGTCTCTGGACACATATGACCTACTGGTCAGTGAGCAGTGGTCCCTGGTCACCTCCGTGCTTGTCAGTGAGCAGTGGTCCCTGGTCACCTCCGTGCTGGTCAGTGAGCAGCGGTCCCTGAACATGCACAAACTGGTCAATGAGCAGCGGTCCCCAGACACCTGTGTACTGGTCAGTGAGCAGTGGTCCCTGGACACCTACGTACTGGTCAGCTTTGTGTTTGACCTGCCATGAATGAGAGGCACATTTTCTTCTTCCTCGGGTGTCCAATTGGCAGACACCTGGAGTCTCTTTTGTAACCACCCAGAGGCACAGAATCTCTGCCTTCAAATCACTACCATAGTCGACAGACTCTGAGAATCATAGCACAGTGAATAGGGGCTGAGAGACGGATCAGTGGGTAAAGTACTTGCTCTGCAACCATGATGACCCGAGTTCAGATCCCCAGCAGCCACAGAAAAAGCTCAGTCTGGTGATGCATGCCTACAGTCCCGGCGCTGGGGGTTGGGGAGGGGCATCTGTAGAGACAGGCAGGTCTTTGGGGCCTGCTTAACACCCGGTCGAGCTGAATAGGTGAACCTGCAGGGTTACTGAGGACCCTGTCTCAAAAAAGACCTGGCATTGTGGCACATGCCTTTAATCACAACACTCAGGAGGCAGAGGCAGATGAATCTCTATGAGTTCAAAACTGGTCTGGTCTACATAGTGAGTTCCAAGCCAAGAGACCCTGAACACCCCTCTCCCTAAAAAAAGAAAAACGAACATGGAGAATAACAACTCTCTTTCACACACATTCATAGAGCATTTGTTTATTTGTGTGTGTGTATAGGTGCACATCTGTATGGGGGTCAAAGGACACCTTCAGGTGCCATCCTCAGGAATGCCATCCACTTTTCCTTTGAGACAGGCTCTCATTGGTCTGAATCTTGCCAATGAGGCTGGGCTGGTTGGCCAATGAGCCCTAGGGATGCCCCGTCTCTGCCTCCCCAATGCTGGGATTACAAGTACAGTTACTACACCTGTTTGTTTAAACGTGGTTTCTGGGGGGACTGAACTCAGATCCTCATGGTTTCAAGGTACCTGCCTCCCCCCACATGGAGCATTTATGATCGGCCAAACGGGCAGAGAGAAACCGAGACTTCAACAAGATCGGCCTGGCAGGAAAGTGGCAGAGACCTCCTGGTCACAAAGACTTCCTCTGAAGCATCACATTCTGTTTCCTCACAGGACATCAGCAGGCTGAGGTGGGCAGGATCCCAGAGCTTGCACCTTCTGCTTTCATCCAGGTTGACTCATCTTCTACCATCCTCAAATACCTAATCAGACCTTTGTGGGCTTGTCTCTTGCCTTAACTTTGGCTAATTCCTGCTTCTCTTCTAGTCTTAACTACAAGGTGGCTTTGAGTACTGTCTTAGTCAGGGTTTCTATTGCTGTGATGGAACACCATGACCAAAAGAAAGCTGGGGAGGAAAGGGTTTATTCAGCTCACACTTCCACATTGCTGTTCATAACCAAAGAAGTCAGGACAAGAATGCAAACAGGGCAGGATCCTGGAGGCAGGAGCTGAGGCAGAGGCCATGAAGGGGTGCTGCTTACTGGCTTGCTTGCTCATCACGGCTTGCTCAGCCTGCTTTCTTATAGAACCCAGGACCACCAGCCCAGGCATGGCCCCAACCACACCTGGCATGGCTCTCCCCCATCAATCACTAATTAAGAAAATGCCTTAAGGCCAGATCTTATGAAGGCATTTTCTCAGTTGAGGTTCCCTCCTTTCAGATGACTCAAGCTTGTGTAAAGTTGACATAAGACCAGCCGGCACAGGTCCCACCAGGAGGGAATCTCCGGTACGTGCCTATGCCCTCTGGCTCCCATCTGCACCCAGGATTTTTGTCCAGTGTCATCCCTGATTGGTCAGTAGTTACTTCTCCCAGAATCTTAGCACACAGAGGGTATTGTGAGACTAAGAGTCAATCATTTTTATTTCATTTCTAATTATGGGGGTGTTTACATGCATATAAATGTAGTGTCCATGGAGGCCAGAAAAAGGCATTGGAACCCCTAGAGCTGGAGTCACTGGCAGATGTGAGTCACCTGATGTGTGTGCTGAGGCGGGAACTGAACTTGGGTCCTCTGAAAGAGCCCTAAGCTTAACTTCTGCATCATCTCTTTAGTTCAGGTTATGAATGAATACAAGCATGCAAGAATGTATTCAAACAACACTGAAGCTTAGTTGGCCGATCTGAGTTTTCCAGATTGTTCTGCACTATCATGGAATGAGCAAAATAGCATGGCCTGGAGTCTCAGTGGCCATACAGACTCTTGGGAACACTTACTCAATTAACCATGTTTGAAACCTGGGAACTGCTGGTCTGTAAGTAGGAAGATGAAGCCTATAAAAGAAACTTCCTTCTTTTGTCCTTCCTCCTTCTTCCCCTCTTTTCCTCTCACCTTTCCGTCTCTCCTCTTTTCTCTCCCTTTCTCTTCTCTTTTCCTTCATTTCTCTTGTCCTTCTCTCCTTCTCCCCTTTATTCCTGCCTTGGACAGAGCTTGGCAAAGAGGAATTAACTAAACGAAGGGTAGCTGGGCAGGAAGAGGAGGAGGTAAAAGCCCTTGGTCTCAAAGCCTTTCTCCCCAAGGCGGAAAATACTTCCAAAGCTACTCTGCATCTTCCCAATCTGGTCCCTCTGAGGTTTCCCCTCCACTAACGAAAGGAGTTTCTGCATGCCTGGGTTGAAATAGACCGGAAAATGGGAGCGTGGCAGGTCACTGCCCAATTGCTCTCCTTCTATCCAGGCAAGCAAAAACCTTTAATGGAAGGGTTGGGAGCCACAAGAATGAGCTCCTTCCTAGCTGGCTGGTATTTCCCCTCTCCCTTGGCCTCTCAGAGCTAAGAACCTTAGAGGTGAAGGGTTTTCATCAATTTGACCCCTGACCAGCCTTTGCTAGTCTGTCTATCTTTACAGGCACACTGCTGGATTTGTATATCAACCTTTAGAAAATGGTGGTAATTCAATAACCAGAACCACTTGCTGTGTGCCAGGCACTGTGCTAAGTGCTTTGAAAATATTAATTTAATCTTTATATCCTACCAGGTAGGCACCATAATCATTGCTATTTTACAAAGAAACTCAGAACACACCGAGGTTGGCTACCTTGTCAAGGTCGCAGAATTGCTTGGAGGTAGCCTATGGAGCCCAAGATTTATTTATTTATTTATTTATTTCTCTCTCTCTCTTCTTTCTTCTTTCTTTCTTTCTTTCTTTCCTTCCTCCCTCCTTCCTTCCTTCCTTTCTAAGAGAGAGAGAGAGAGCACAGAAATAATGATGTCACTAATATTTAACTGCGCATGTGAATCTTGCAGGCAAAACTGGAAACTTGCTATTTGTTTGCTTTTTTGAGGAAAAGAATTAATGGCTCTCTGGTCCCTGACAGAAAGGACCTCACAAGTAGTTAGGACAGAGTCCCACAAGAGGTGCCCAGATGGGTGATGGCAAGGGTTGTCCCTGGAGCATCTAAACAGCACATAAGTCAGACTTGAAGATCTGAGGGGCTTCCTGGAGAAGTACCTGGACGATGTTAAGAGTCAGAGACTGTTCCAGGCAGAGGGCATGGCTCAGGCAGAAGGTGTGGCGCAGGCAGAGGGCGTGGCAGAGATCATGGTGTAGGCAGAGGGCAAGGTGCGGGCAGAGGGCAGAGGGCATGGCCCAGGCCGAGAGGCATGGCGCAGGCAGAGGGCGTGGCGCAGGCAGAGGGCGTGGCCAGGGCAGAGGAAGGAGTATGTGGGGAACTGAGAGTAGTTCAACAGGGTTAAGAATCTGAGAAGGAATCCAAGGTGAGGCTGGAGGGAGCTAAGGGGATAGTGGGAGAGAGGCAGACAGGAGATGCAGGGCAGGAGGAGGAGGCTTGTTGCTCAGGAAACCAAGAAACCAAACTGCATGGTCTTTTTCTCAATTAGCAGCAGCCACGGGCTCCCAGCTGGGGGTGTAGGGGGAGTCAAAGCCCTTGGGAGATGAGCTTGTTCTGGGATGAAAACACATCCGTGGAATCCAGCTCTCCCACTTTGCAAGAATAAATTGTCACCTTCCCACTCAATCTGGCTGTGCGCTCCCTGGCCCCGCTCCATCCGCCCACAGATGCAACACTCTGCTCTCTGCTGCCTCCTGCAGATGCACGGCTTTGCTGCAGCAGCCTCCTGTCAAGATCAACCTGGAAACCAGACAAGGAGAGGAGGTGGGGAGGCCCTGAGGCCACCTTCGCCTCCCCGCCCCTTCCCACAATGGGCCCCCAACCCTCCTGGGAGCTAAAGGGAAGTGACTTCCAGACTCCAGCGAGGTGGAGGGCTGGCTGCCTTTATCACCCATCTATTGCCTGCGTGGTCTCAATTCTTGGCAGTCCTTAAAGCAAGCCTTGCTAATTTCATCTTGAGCTCTGCCTGTCCTCTCTGAGACACGATGGCCAGAAACTATTGTTAAGATTGATCCTAGCAGGGGTCATTTACCGGGTGCTTAGCGCTTGATTCCTGAGGCCAGCCGAGGAGTGATATTAGATTTG